TATATATATGTATATATATATAGGAAAAATATTGTAGTACACGAGGACGGACAACTTCAAGCTAAGAAAGACATATACTCAAATAAAAAGTCTAAGAAAGTTTAAGGTCTGATGAAAGAAAGTTTAAGGTGATGAAAGTTTAAGGTGATGAAAGTTTAAGGTGATGAAAGTTTAAGGTGATGAAAGTTTAAGGTGATGAAAGTTTAAAGTCCAAGACCTTCATCAGTTGTATTACAACTGATGAAGGTCTCGGACCGAAACGTTTTTATTAAACTTTCGTAGACTTTTTATTTGAGTATATGTCTTAGCTCGAAGTTGTCTGTCCTCGTGTACTACAATATTTTTCCTATTATTTATCGAGGTTTGGACTGTGAATTCTTTTGGAGCCTTCTGGCATGGCGTCGCTGTTGGCTTGAGGCCTTTTAACTTGTTATATATATATATATATATATATATGTATAGGTAATCGCATGGGGCTGAGTAAAATTAAGGATTAATATCACGCGTGTTTCGGAAGTTGCTGAAATTGCCCTCGTCGCGCAATCCTTAATTTTATGAGGAACCATGTGATTACTTGTTTATAATATAAGGGGCGAAATGTTTTCTTACCGATCTCGTGCAAAACGGGACGCTATTGTTACAAAACAGAAATTTCTTTACCTTGGTAGCCGTTGCTAAGCGATTTTCAACCAATCATTTTCAAGTAATTTTGCCTGGGGCAATTACAAAAATTAAGAAAAAATGCCCTCTGTCTTGACCAATCACAATTCAGTTATTTTGCCCCTTGTATGATAAATTTATAAATTCTTGAACTTGACTTGAATATATTTCAAAGAGCGCTCAACTCTTAGAGGAGCATTGATAATTATAACAAACTGGTTCAAGACTTCAGAGGTAGTTCATTGTTTTATTACGACAGCTCTGTTTCGTATGGTTGAAAATGACCACACTCATCAGGTAATTTCAACGATCGACCGTTAACTTACAATGACTGGCTATAAAAGCTGGAATATGGTTGCTAGGAGATATTAAAACAATGCTACTTTTCCATATAAGTCAGGTGACTGGTAGGTATATAATTTTTGAGATTTTTACTTTATTATGAAGTTTTTAAGAAGGTATCTGTTTCTATAGGGGCATGAACTTGCTAGCTCATTTCGCTTGTCTAGACTTCAAAGTTCCTTTTTACATATGATCATGAATTTTTCAAAAAGACATAAATTACATTTCTTAGTAATGTTGTTGTACGGTTTGCATTGTTTGATGACCTTCCACACAGAAACCACACGGCTTCCTTCCAACACCAAAACAAGAGATGCAAGACTGAATTATCTAAACACATAAGGACACTGAAGGATAATAACAAACCTTTCAAGCTAATGTGGAAAATCATCAAACAATTTTATGGACTTAGATATAATTGAGGTCCATCATTAGAAAACAAAAAAAAGAAACACACATAATTATATGATATTATATAATTATGTAGTGCATTAACCAGTAAGTAGCACCAAGTCAAAGGATAATGTGACTTTTTAAAGAAATGTTGCTTCCTCAGACAGGTTTCTAGTCATTCCCTCCCTCAATTGTAAGGGGAGTAAAAAAGTCTTTCTCACACACAACTGAGAGCCATGCCAAGCCGACCATGCAGCCCAACCTTTATTATATCAACACGATGAACTATTAGGGTTACAACACTAACAAAACAGCTGGAACTGAGGCTAGATACAGAAGACTGACCTGCACGAATAACTGGAACTAAGGCACTACTTGAAATCGTATATCCCTAAAAACATGGTGTCTGCTCTCTACAATTTCTTCACTTAC